GGGAGATTCTAAAGAAAAACTGCAAAAGTTAGTGGATGAGTTTGAGAGTGTGTGTAAAGGTAGAAAGTTGAAAGTGAACATAGTGAACATAAGGTGATGAGGGTATCAGATTATTTTGATAAAAAAAATTGGATATTAAATTGGGGAGGAGTAGTATGGAAGAAGTGAATGCTTTCAGATACTTGGGGGTTGAAGTGTCGGCAGATTGATTTATGAAGGATGAGGTTAATCTTAGAATTGATGAGGGAAAAAAAGGTGAGTGGTGCGTTGAGGTATATGTGGAGACAAAAAAACTTTATCTATGGAGGCAAAGAAGGGAATGTATGAAAGTATAGTAGTACCAACACTCTTAAATGGGTGTGAAGCTTGTTTTGTGAATGCAACAGTGAGGAGGCAGTTGGAGGAAGTGATGTCCTGTCTAAGGGCAATTTTTTTTTTTTTATTATCACACTGGCCGATTCCCACCAAGGCAGGGTGGCCCGAAAAAGAAAAACTTTCCCCATCATTCACTCTCCGTTTCCCAAAAGGGTGCTTTACACTACGTTTTTAAACTGAAAAATTTAACCCCCCTCCTTCAGAGTAGGCACTGTACTTCCACTCCAGGATCAAGTCCGGCCTGGCCGGTTTCCCTAAAACCCCTTCATAAATTTATTTGTTACACCCAACGCACGTCAAGTATTAAAAACATTTGTCTCCATTTTTCCCCCACAAACACGCCCAAACATGCCCGCTGGAAATCCCCAAACCCCTTGCACAAAAACCTCCTTTACCCCCCCCCCAACCTTTCCTAGGGCCTACCCGCCCGCCCTTCCCTTTCCCCTACAGACTGATACACTCTTAAAGTCACTCTGTTTCGCTCCATTCTCTCACATGTCCAACCACCTCAAAAAACCCCCTTCCCCAGCCCTCTGGACAACAGTTTGGTAATCCCGACTCCTCCCAACTTCCCCAAATCGAAATTTTCTGCATTTATTTACACCACACATTGCCCCCGACTGACTCTCCACTGCCTCCCGCCTTCTCCCCGCTGCAAAAATTCTTTCCCCCGCTTCCACCCATATAAGAGGTTGGTAAAAATATATCTCAACATTTCCCCCCTTTTCCCCCCAAAGACAAAGTTCTTTTTTCCACAGGGCTCCTAAATGCAAAGCTCACCCTTTTCCCCTCATCAATTTATGATTCACCTCATCTTTCAAGACCATCGCTGACCGTCCACTCCCAAAAATCTGAATACATTACTCCTCCATACTCTCTCCCTCCAAATTTATATCCTTTTTTCACACCTAATCTTTTTGTTATCCTCTTACCTTCTCTTTTCCCGTATTCACTTTTAATTTTTTTTTTTGCCACCCTACCCAAATTTATCCCCCCAATCTTGCAGCTTCTTTCGAAATTTCCCCCCAGCACAGTGTCATCAGCAAAGAGCAATGTGACAACTCCCCCTTTATGTGTGATTCTTTATATTTTAGTCCCGCCCTTGCCAGACCCTCGCATTTACTTCCTTACAACCCATCAAAAAAATTTATATTAAAAAAACCCAGTGAATTACCATACTCAAAATTGAGCCTCACTATCCCGTAAAAAACCTTCACTGCTTTCAGTAACCTACCTCCTTCCCCAACACCTGAAACATCCCCCAATTCTCCCTAATCACCCTATCATGCCTTTTCCAAATCCATAAACCAAAAAAACCTCTTTAGCCTTATCTAAAAATGTTCACTTATTGTTTACTGTAAAAACCGGGTCAACACACCCCCTCCTTTCCAAAAGCCTCCTTGTTCATCTGTACCCAAATTCTCCCGTTTACTCTTAATTCTTTCATAAAAACTCTACCATACACTTTACCAGGATACTCAAAGATTATCCCCCTATTTTTTTGCACTCTCTTTCCCCCCTTTTCCCTTTATACAAAGAACTAGCATGCCACACCACAATGGTCTTCCTCCTCCTACAAGATGTTATTCCATTTTGCCCATACACGAAATCACAGTTTCCCCTATCTTCATCAACATTTAAAAATTTCCCCAAAAAAATTTTCCCCTCATCTTCCCAATCCCTCAAAACTCTCCATTAATAACTCTCCTCTCCCATTTTTAACTGACAAAACCATTTGTTTCAGGCTTTCCCCAACTTGTTTAAACTCACTCCAAAAAATTTTTCTTTTTTTCAAAAAATTTGTTTATAAAAATCTCACCCCCTCTTCATTTGCTCCTTTTTTAAAATTGCTTCACCACTCTCTTAACCCCTCTCTTTTTCTCCCCCCCATATATTTTCCCTCCCTTGCTCCTTTACTTTGTAAAAATTCTCATAGCTAACTTTTTCTCCCTTACTACTCTATTTCATCATCTTCCCCCCCCCCCCCCCCCCCTCTTTCCTACCGCACCCCCTTTCCCGTAACCCCAAACTTTGCGAACACTCTAACACTACATTTTTTAAACCCACCCCCTACCTCTTACCCATTGCCTTGCTTATTAGCCCACTATCCTCCAATACTGTTTATATCTTACCCTAATCCTTCTCTTTTTGTTTATAAACTTCACCCCTCTCTTTCCTGATGCTTCTATTCTCCTTGTATCCCATCTGCCTTTACTTCAGTGTAGCTACAACTAGAAAGTGATTCTGATTATATCTGTGGCCCCTCTATAAACATGTACATCCTGAAGTCTACTCAACAGTCTTTTATCTACCAATACATAATCCAACAAACTACTGTCATTTTGCTCTACATCATATCTTGTATACTTATTTATCCTTTTTTTCTTAAAATATGTGTTACCTATAACTAAACCCTCTCTATACAAGTTCAATCAAAGGGCTCCATTATCATTTACACCTGGCACCCCAAACTTACCTACCACACCCTCTCTAAAAGTTTCTCCTACTTTAGCATTCAGGTCCCCTACCACAATTACTCTCTCACTTGGTTCAAAGGCTCCTATACATTCACTTAACATCTCCCAAAATCTCTCTCTCTCTCCTCTACATTCCACTCTTCTCCAGGTGCATACATGCTTATTATGACCCACTTTTCGCATCCAACCTTTACTTTAATCCACATAATTCTTGAATTTACACAATGGGCAGTGTGTGGTGTAAATATTATGCAGAAAATTCAGAGTGTGGAGTTAATAAAAGTATTAGTCAGACGGCTGAAAAGGGGTTGTTGAGGTGATTTGGTCATTTAGAGAGAATGGATCAAAGTAGAATGTCATGGAGAGCGTTTAAATCTGTAGGGGAAGGAAGGCGGGGTAGGGGTTGTCCTCGAAAAGGTTGGAAGGACGGGATAAGGGAGATTTTGTGGGCGAGGGGCTTGGACTTCCAGCAGGCGTGCGTGAGCATGTTCGATAGGAGTGAATGGAGACGAATGGTTTTTGGGACCTGACGATCTGTTGGAGTGTCAGCAGGGTAATATTTAGTGAAGGGATTCAGGGAAACCAGTTATGTATTTTTGTATAGCCGGACTTGAGTCCTGGAAATGGGAAATACAATGCCTGCGCTCTAAAGGAAGGGTTCGAGATATTGGCTGTTTGGTGGGATATGTTGTGTATCTTTATACTTATATGCTTCTAAGCTGTTGTGTTCTGAGCACCTCTGCAAAAACAGTGATTATGTGTGAGTGAGGTGAAAGTGTTGAATGAGGATGAAAGTATTTTCTTTTTGGGGATTTTCTTTCGTTTTGGGTCACCCTGCCTCGGTGGGGAGACTGCCGACTTGTTAAAAAAAAAATTGTTAAAGGCTTTTGCAAAGTCTTTGTGTACTACATCTGCATTTTGTTTGTCCTTCAGTGCCTCTAAAACCTTGTGATAGTGGTCCAGTAGTTAGGACTGGTAGTAGTGGCCTGCTGTAAACCCATGTTGCCCTGGGTTGTGTGACTAATGGATATCTAGGTGTGTGGCAATCTTACTTCTTAGAACCCTTTGAAAGATTTTTATGATATGGGACATTAGGGCTATAGGTGTGCAATTTTTTGCAATTGCTTTACTGCCACGTTTGTGGGGAGGGGCTATGTCTCTTGTTTTTAGTGACTGTGGGATGACCCCATGCTCCCTCTCCATAGAATGCTGAAGGCACGTGAAAGGGCTTCTTGCAGTTCTTGATGAATACGGAGCTCCACGAATGTGCCATATGGGCCTATGGGCCTTAACTTCACTTTTGTCGAAGGTCAAAGTTTGAGAACTTCAATCCTATCTTGTACAACTGAATACTTTGGTGATTTTGCTGACTTTGAGTCCTATTTTAAGTAAATTCAATTGCTCCAGTCGACTGAATTCTTAGCTAATTTGCTAGTATGCCTACATTTTTGGGGCCCTGAAGCTTGAACTGTTATGGGGGCCCCTTTTGCAACCCTTCTCATACAGTAGACTTAAAATTTTTAAGCAATATGGACTAGTCACTACTGGGGTCCCTCTGGGATTAAGGGTCTTGAAGCTTAAGCTTCATTAATTTCATCATAGATCCACCCCAGCATTCAACTATAACAACTACTCTATAAAGTGCACAGTCTGTAATTAGGCCATACACAAATAACCTGCACATAAAAGAGAGAAGTTCACGACGACGTTTCAGTCTGACTTGGACCATTTACAAAGTCACACTGCGTGACTTTGTAAATGGTCCAAGTCGGACCGAAACGTCGTCGTGAGCTTCTCTCTTTTATGTGCGGGTTATATGTGTATCGTTCCAGTCACGGCATTGTGCCTTTTTTTGTTAGTTATGTAATTAGGCCAGTTTTACACAAAATTATAAAAATACCATTTTAAAAACAGCACAAAGTGAATAATGTAGACATTCCTGGCACTAAAACAGCATTTCTTCTTTTTATATTTCATTATCTCATAGTATTTTGCCATGCATATTATTATAATGAGAGTTGTTCTTTTGCGTCATGTAAATACAGAGCAGTCTGATAATCACTTATTTGCATTTATTGTATTGATTGCTACATATGCTGTCCTTCATATCTGAATGTGCTCATTACTATGAACTGTCTTACATTTTAGCTGCCTGTGTAGCATGTGGCAACTTCATCCTTTGTTTCCCAGAAGAGTCCCAGGGCACCATGGAGGACCTCCAGCCACTCTTCTTCAATAATCTCCAGGTGATTACATATTTGTTATTGAAAAATTCACATTCATGGTTAGTGCCTTCCTCTCATTTATCACCTGAAGACATATTAGCAGGGGCATAGTCAGGGAAGGGAAGGTAGAACTGTTTTCTCGGCACCTGTGCTTGCTATGAAATAGCCAAACACGCATTTTCCTGAAACTTAAGTTCTGGTGATGTGAAGTACAGTGTCTGTACTCTGAAAGAGAAGTGAGGATGTTGCACTTTGGGGGTTATTTGAAATGTGATGTTTGCATGCTTCTGGAATGGGAGCTTAGAGAAGGAAGTATGGGTTATAACCACTTAATTTTTTTTTAAATAAAAAATTACAAACAATGAGAACAAGACACAGTAAGTGTAATTAACATGAAATACATGCAGTGTGCAAACACCTTTCACTCAACATTTGAATACTTCGAGTATAAACTGGAGCTTTGTCAAACATTGTTTTTTTTTTTTTTTTAGGACATGACTTCCAGCAGTAATGGAGTTTTCTAATGCTTGCACAATAATTTCTTTCTAGATGCTACACACAAGAATAGGCTAACACAGATATAGAAGTGATATAGGTGAGCAAAGGTAGAAGTGTATGGAATCTTGCCCATACATTTCTCCAGCCAGGGAATTCGAACCTGGATTCTTTCAGTTGTGAGCCAAAGAGCTCACCACAGTACTTGGCACCTCTGTAATTGTGATTGAGTAATCATGTAGAGAGGATTTCCCAGTGGCATAGAAACCTGATGCAGCAGTTGTATAATATTCCTTTTTCAAATCACTGTAAATCATTCTTCTTCTTTTTCTTTCAACAAACTGGCCGTATCCCTCCCAAAAAAGTTTTTCTTTTTAACTTTATTAATATATACAGGAGAAAGGGTTACTAGCCTCACTCCCAGCATTTTAGTTGCCTCTTATGACACGCATGGCTCATGGAGGAAGAATTCTGTTCCACTTCCCCATGGAGATAAGAGGAAATAAACAAGAACTAGTAAGAAAATAGAAGAAAACCATGAGGGGTGTGTATATATATGCTTGTACATGCAAATGTAGTGTAACCTAAGTGTAAGTAGACCTGGAGTTTACCTGGAGAGAGTTCCGGGGGTCAACGCCCCCGCGGCCCGGTCTGTGACCAGGCCTCCTTAGGTCAGTGTCCCAGGATGCGACCCACACCAGTCGACTAACACCCAGGTACCCATTTTACTGATGGGGAACATAGACAACAGGTGGAAAGAAACACGTCCAATGTTTCTACTCTGGCTGGGAATCGAACCCAGGCCCTCACCGTGTGAAGCGAGAGCGTTTTTTTTTCCCAACAAACCAGCCTTATCCCACCAAGGCAGGGTGGCCCAAAAAGAAAAATGAAAGTTTTTCTTTTAAAATTTAATAATTTATACAGGAGAAGGGGTTACTAGTCCCTTGCTCCAGGCATTTTAGTCTCCTCTTACAACACGCATGGCTTACGGAGGAAGAATTCTGTTCCACTTCCCCATGGAGTTAAGAGGAAATAAACAAGAACAAGAACTAGAAAGAAAATAGAAGAAAACCCAGAGGGGTGTGTATATATATATAATTGTACATGTATGTGTAGTGTGACCTAAGCGTAAGAAGAAGTAGCAAGGTGTACCTGAAATCTTGCATGTTTATAAGACAGAAAAAAGACACCAGCAATCCTACCATCTTGTAAAACAGTTACTTGTAAAACAGTCACTTGGCAGGACAGTAGTAGCTCCCTGGGCGGTTGCTGTCTACCAACCTACTACCTATGTTTAAATCATTCTATTCCTAGTTATTTTTTACTAAATCCATCTTTAAATTAATTGCTATGACAATCTCAATCACTTGTACTACACAATTTTTTTTTTTTTTTAACATGTTGGCTATCTCCCACCATGTTAGGGTGACCGAAAAAAGAAAGAAACACTTTCACCATCATTCAACACTTTCACCATCATTCAGCACTTTCACCATCATACAACACTTTCACCATCATTCATACATAATCACTGTCTTAGCAGAGGCGCCCAGATATGACAGTTTAGATGTAACCCCCAACGGCCAGTATCTCAAACCCCTCCTTTACAGTGCAGGCATTGTGAAGTGCAGGCATATTGTGAAGGGTTTCCCTGAATCCCTTGACAAAATATTACCCTGTTCACACTCAACAGCTCGCCAGGTCCCAAAAACCATGCATCTCCATTCACTCCTATCGAACACGCTCACACATGCCTGCTGTATGTCCAAACCCCTTGCACACAAAACATCTTTTACCCCCTCCCTCCATCCTTTCCTAGGATGACCCCTACCCCTCCTCCTCTCCACTACAGATTTATACACCCTCCAGGTCATCCTATTTTGCTCCATCCTCTCTAAATAACCTAACCACCTTTATGTTTTGGGATGGGGCACCAGTGTTTATGCCTTGCCATTTTGCTGGACACCACATCATCAGGGTTGCTGAGTTTCATATTAATGCCTGATTTTTGTGGTTTTATAACCACCTATTCATCTGTTTTAAATTTGATACTTTGCACAGGTAATGCAGTCATTATTGGGTGGGTGCCCTTGTCCCAAGCATTCATTATGCATCACACACAATCATATGACCAGTTTTGCAGTAGTAAAGGTTCTGTTCTTGAGTAAATGAAAGTTTGTATTTAATAGTCATAATAGTTTGGTATATGCAATAATTATAATTATGTTCAGGTTATATAAGAGAGATTATGTCAGAAATTGTCTCCTCAGGATAGCATTCCCTCGGTACGCCAAGGAGCAGCAGTTGCTATTGCTAATGTTGTTCGTGCTTACGGAAAGGATGTTTTACCCATGATTATTGAGAAGACGAAAGAAGGACTGAAAGGTATGAAATATTTGTGATCTCTTGTGAATTATATTTGCTGGATTTTCATTTTATGTTTTATAATGTTGAAAATAAGTATGTATAGCCTTAACCCTTTTGGGGTCGACAGGTCCTCTCAGAGACTTGTTCTCAGGGTCGGCCAAATTTCCCAAAAAAAAAAAAATCGTTTTTTTCTTATGAAAAGATAGAGAATCTTTTCCCAATCATAATGACACCAAAATTATGAAATTTGATGGAAAACTTACGGAATTATGCTCTCGCGAAGTTAGCGGTCTCAACGATGTTTACACATCGGCAGTTTTGCCCACTTTGAGCCCTATTTTCGGCCAATTCATGTTTACTAGTTGACAGAAATCATAACTATTTCGCTAAAACTCCATTTTTTCTATCGAATGAGTACAAGAAACCACCCATTTACCGATTTCAACTATCCAATAAAGTGGTCAGAATTTAGCAATTTTGCCAATTTCACACAAATTTCAAAAGATGCCAATTTCCGAATAGGGTCCAGAATAAACAAGAAAGACATTCCTGGCACTAAAATAACAAGTTCTCTGTTCATTAGTCACATCTCCAGGCCCCTCTCATATTTCTTTGGTTTTCCACTTTGAATTTTTATTCTTACAAAAAAATAAGATTTACTGTTATGCAGACTACTGCATTAGTGTAGAAATGGTATAAATAATATCAGCGCACTTGTGAAAGAATATCAGACTCACCAGTTGACGTGTATTGGACACTTGGCATGATTTGTTTACTTTTGAACTTTGGTAAAAATCGAACATTTCTGCTACTTTGAGCTCAATTTCGAGGTACTTTTCATTGTAAAACCAGTCAAAATCATCTCAATTTCTGTAATATGTCTTCCATTCTATAAAATGAGACCAAGAAAACTAGAATACAACAATAAATACCATATGAAAATACAGTGCAAATTCGCTGTTTTAATCCAAAAACATGGTCGAAGTTTTTTTTTTCTCATTACGCACTGTGTGCTGCAGGATTTTTTTTATACTGCTCACACTGACCACATAGACCCATTCTTACATATATAGGCCTACCAGCTTTCTCTCACTAGATTTGAGGGCGCTAGAATTTAGGCGTACTAGTATGTCAAAAACCCTGGGTCGTAAGACGTGCTAGTATGTCCGAAACCCCCAAAGGGTTAATTATTTAACCCAACTATATTTAAAAAAAAACTTTTAACACACTGGCTGTCTCCTACCGAGACAGGGTGACCAAAAAAGGAAATACAGTGGACCCCCGGATAACGATATTTTTTCATTCCAGAAGTATATTCAGGTGCCAGTACTGACCGAATTTGTTCCCATAAGGAATATTGTGAAGTAGATTAGTCCATTTCAGACCCCCAAACATACACGTACAAACGCACTTACATAAATACACTTACATAACTGGTCACATTGGGAGGTGATCGTTAAGCGGGGGTCCACTGTACACCTACCATCCGACTTACGACCGAGTTCGGTTCCGAGAAACCGGTCGTAAGTTGAAATGGTCGTAAGTCGAAATGGTCGTAAGTCGAACTTTACCACTGAATATCAACAAAACATTTTTGTAATGACTTTATTTTATTGTTTTATTTTGGTATTTCATGTTTTACTTTACTTTTTATGCTGTTAGTACTGTATTTTATACTGTAAGGTTTAGGATAAACACTGTGTACAACACAAATAGTTGTTTATTTCCCAGAAATTTGGCATAAAAAACACGGTCGTAAGTCGAGTGGTCGTAAGTCGGATGGTAGGTGTACTTTGACCATTATTCATACTATCACTGTCTTTGCAGAGGTTCGCAGATATAACAGTTTGGATGTCACTCTAAACAGCACATATCCCAAACCCCTCCTTTAGAGTGCAGGCATTGTAATTACCACTTCCATGACTCAAGTCCAGCTAACTGGTTTTCCTGAATCCCTTCACAAAATATTACCCTTCTCACACTTCAGCATTTTTTTTTTATTTATTTATTTTTAGTAAACTATATGGGAGAAAGGGTTACTAGCTCATTGTTCCTGGTATTTTAGTTGACTTTTACAACATGCATGGCTTATGCAGGAAAGATTCTTGTTTCACTTCAACATGGAGATGAATGGAAATACAGTGGACCCTCGGTTACCGGCCTTAATCCATTCTAGAAGCTTGGCCTATAACTGAAATGGCTGAAAACTGAAATAATATTTCCCTTAAGAATTAATGGAAATACAATTAATCCGTTCGAGACAAAAATATTCGCAAAATAATTTTTTTAACAATTATAAAAGCTGAGGAGGGGTTGTTGAGGTGGTTCGGACTTGTAGAGAGAATGGAACAAAACAGAATGACTTCGAGAGTGTATAAATCTGTAGTGGAGGGAAGGCGGGGTAGGGGTCAGCCTACGAAGGGTTGGAGAGAGGGGATAAAGGAGGTTTTGTGTGTGAGGGGCTTGGACTTCCAGCAAGCGTGCATGAGCGTATTTGATAGGAGTGAATGGAGACAAATGGTTTTTGATACTTGAAGTGCTGTTGAAGTGTGAGCAAAGTAACATTTATGAAGGTATTCAGGGAAACCGGCAGGCTGGACTCTGAGTCCTGGAGATGGGAAGTACAATGTCTACACTCTGAAGGAGGGGTGTTAATGTTGCCAAGACAGTGATGGAATGAATGATGATGAAAGTTTTTCTTTTTCTGGCCACCCTACCTTGGTGGCAATCAGCCGATGTGTTATTAAAAAAAAAAATGAAAGTATTATATACCTTTATTGAAGAACAATGCTGGCTTATGGAAGATCGGGAAGAGGAAAGAGGGAGGAGTTAGTGTTTGGAAGGGGAATCCCCCTCCATAAAGACTTCAGGTAGGAAAGTCTTCTCTGGGGTTACTTCCCTTCTTTGTCTTTTAAAGCAACTAGGACCAGCTTGAGAGTCACTGGATCCCTGTCGCACAACAAATCTGTCCATAGAGGTCTGTTTCTGGCGTCCCATTTAGATTTCCCTGAAGTGGGACAGGGTTTTGTCACTGAACATGTTGCAGATATGGCTTGTTTCAGCTTGGTCAGGGTGGTGTTTGTCTACAAAAGCTTGCACCCTAGTCCATATTGCACACACCTCTTTAATCTCTGAAGAAGGCACCTCCTTCTCTCCCACTTCCTCCTCCTCTGAAGCAAGTTCCTCATCTGCAGTCTGTTGCTGTTCGAGTTGAAGGTCTTGCAGCTCTTCAGTGGTTAGCTCTTCCCTGTGGTCCTTCACCAACTTTTCCACATCCTCGCCACTCACCTTCAACCCCAGGGACTTCCCCAGTCCCACAATAGAGTCTATAGGGTCGGCAAGATCAGGGTCAGCCACAAACCCTTCAAAATCCCTCTCTTGGGCACAACCTGTCCACAGTTTTCTCCAAGCAGAGTTCAAAGTCCTGGAAGTCATTCCCTAACAAACCGTACCAATAATGCTTATGCAATTGAGGATATTGAAGCGATTCCTCCAGAACTCTCTTAGGTTCAACTGAGTGTCCGAGGTCACTTCAAAGCACTTTTCAAACACTGCTTTTGTGTAGTTTTTTTTTTAAGTTAGAAATGACCTGCTGGTCCATGGGCTGGAGGAGAGGAGTGGTGTTAGGAGGCAAGACCTTCACCTTTATAAAATTGAAGTCTCTAAGCACTTGGTCTTCCAAATCTAGAGGATGTGCAGGAGCATTGTCCAGTACCAGGAGGCACTTAAGTGGCAATTTCTTTTCCAGGAGGTATTTTTTCATACTTGGACCAAACACATCATTAACCCACTCTGAAAATTTGCTTTGTGACCCATGCCTTATCATTAGCTTTCCACATCACACACAATCTATTCTTGACGACATTGCTTTTCTTGAAAACGCTGGGATTTTCAGTGATACACCAGTAAAGGCTTCACTTTGAAATCCCCACTAGCATTACCACACAGCAAAAGAGTAAGCCTGTCTTTCATAGGTTTGTGTCCTGGCAATGCCTTTTCTTCCTGCTTGATGTAGGTCCTCTTTGGCATTTTCTTCTAAAACAGGCCTGTTTCATCACAACTGAACACTTGTTGGTGTTCGAATCCTTCAGCCTTTACATAGTCCTTAAATTCCTGTACATACTTTTCAGCTGCACATTTATCAGAACTTGCAGCCTCTCCATGCCTTACAACACTGTGTATGCCACTACGCTTCTTAAATCTCTCAAACCAGCCTTTGCTGGCCGTAAATTCACTACCAGCAGCACTTGTTCCAGGAGTTTTCTGTAGAAGAACATCATGTAACTGCTTTGCCTTCTCACAAATAATAGATTCCACAACACTGTCTCCCACTAATTGTTTTTCCTTAATCCACAACAACAACAACTTTTCCATCTGTTCCATTATTGGTGACCTTTGTTTCGTTAGAAAAGTTACTCCTTTCACGACAGTAGCGTCCTACCACTCTCGTATTTATCAATCACTTCACGCTTAAATTCTATGGTGTTTCTCACTTTCTTTACCACAGGAACTTTACTTGGAACTTTCTTTGGAGCCATTGTTACTTATTTCACAGTTGCACTGCAAAAAAACACAAAAATCAATGGAAAATAAGCGAAATGTTTGGATGTATGAGCAGAAGCCTCCTCACGTACCGAGAAACTCAGCCAAACTGATGCGCCATCGGCCCCAGCCAGCAATCAGACGCATCCGAAACAGCTGATCACCGAAATAACGGCCGATCACCGGGAGCTGAAAAACCGGCTGATCACTGAGTTGGCTGATAGCAGGAGAATGGCCAATAACTGATCCACTGTAATAACAAGAACAAGAACATTAAGAAAAAAAAAAAACCCAGATGAGTGTTATACATAAATGTGTAGGGCCCCACTTTATGGCATTTCGCCTCACAGCATTCCACTAATACGGGCATTTCAGATTATTACCAAAGTTCACTATATGGTTCCCCCACCTGACTTTCTAATATTCTCACCACACACCACCCAGTTTGTTTACATTCTCTGTGAGCACAATTCTCCATTATGTCTGGAAACTTTCCAAAATTTCAAGT